GCTCATTTCCACGTTGCTGCTGCTGCTGCTGCTGCTGCTGCTGATGGCAGTCATTGTCATCGTGGAGGAGAGGGAGGATCAGAAAGACCAGAAGTCCGCGCCGCTGATCCCGCTCATTTCCACAATGATGATGATGACGATAATAATGGTGATGATGATAATCGCCATGATGGTAGGGAGTGGGGAGGGGGCGGGAAGATTCCACGCTGATGATGACGATGATGATGACGATGATGATGATGATGACGATGATGATGACGATGATGATGACGATAATGGTGACGGCGATGATCGTCGTGTTGGAGGGCAGCGGGGGGGGGGGGGGGGATTCCACGCTGACAATGATGCTGATGCTGATAACGGTAATAATGATGACCAGGAGGAGAAGGGAGAAGCAGGACGAGAAAAGGAGGAAGGTGGAGAAAGTGTTGGCTCTATTTGTACGTAGGCAGCTGATACGAGTGCACGCAGAGCAAGGGGAATGGCAAGGGAGGAGGAGCGGGTGGCATGGGCGGAGGCTCTCTCTCTCTCTCTCTCTCTCTCTCTCTCTCTCTCTCTCTCTCTCTCTCTCTCTCTCTCTCTCTGTCTGTGCGAAGGCATCATAATGATGCTGGACGGTGTAGAAACTAGAAGAATGGAAAAGGGCCGGACTGATACTCCGCAGAATGGAAAAGAACCGGACTGCATGTTCACAATGACTTGCCGGGCGAAAAAGAACCGGACTGATACTCCGCAGAATGGAAAAGGAGCCAGGACCAAAAGGCCCATCTTTTTTTTTTTAAACAGGTCCTTATGGCCCTGGCTCCATTTCCATTCTGGGGAGCATCAGTCCGGTTCCTATTCCACCAGCAAGTCAGGAAAAATAATTGCATCATAGGACACTATCACGCTTCCTTTCGTCTGGCCGACGGAACCCTGATCAGCATTGATTGTTCCAAGCTCGTGGAGGATTAACTGTCAGCTTGCGCTGCTTCCACCTTTCCTCTCAGGATTACTATAAGAACCTGTCAAATAAAACATGCAAAGCAAGAAAAGTATGATAAGCTACCACTGCTACCAATTCTGTCTAAAACCCTAAGCCCCGCATTTGAGCCACAGAGAAATCTCTGGCAATCTAGCCCCTGCTTGCCTTGTTTCTGTCCAAAGCGTCAACCCTAAACCCTAAACCCTAGACCCTAAACAAGATAAATCTTTTTTCCATCTGTTCCCTGTGACACATCAGACGCCGCCTGTAGCGCATGAATCTTGGATGCTTTTTTTTTTTGTTTGTTTGTTTTCATTTTTTTTGTTTTTTTTTGTGGGGAGCGTCAGTCCGGTTCCTATTCCCCCGGTAAGTCAAAAATTTGATACATCATAGAACACGCTCACGCTTCCTTCTGTCTGGTCGAAGGATCCTTGACCAGCATTGATTGCTCCTAATAGGAGGATTGACTGTCAGCTTGCCTTTCCCTGAACTCCCTCTCAGATTCCCCTATGGAAACCTGTCAAATAGGCTTTAATCAGCTAGGAGAACTAAGGAACGAAAATGCTTCCACATTGAAATGAAGGTTGTTGCTACTCCTTATGTAGCCTGTGGATCCTGTGGGCCCCCAATTGAGTGAGGTATTGAGTTTCTCCCGCTGGTTCCCGAGTTGTGCCAATTTTTCCATCGTAGGTTGGAGTCTCTTATCTCTGCTATTTCCCCCCCCACCAGCCAGACCTTGACGAATTTGGAAAAGATACTGCGCTGTTGATCTTCATCTTCAGGCATGGAGAGTCTCATCTTGTGCCATCTGCATAGGATCTCTGTCTGGATCAGGGTCCTTGTCTCCACCCAAACCTTTTCGCTCGGAGTTGATAGTCCCTAGATGGTTCTGCTGCATCTGTCCTTCCAGATCGACCAGAGTGTTACATGCTGCACATGCACACACGGGCCATTTTGCAGGCCCGACGTCGTTCAGGCCAAAAACCTGAATTTCGGGCTTTAAGCCTGATATCCAAGGCTTACAGGCCCCGCCGACGGTTCAGCCTGACAGCCCGAGAAAGGACCTACAGGCTCCAGCCTGTTTCCCTACAGGGAAACTTCCAGGCTCTTGCCTGGAAGCTTCCTTCTGACAGGGCCTACAGGCCCCAGCCTATTTCCCTACAGGGAAACTTCCAG